GAAAATGGAGGGATGGCAAGCTACCTATGAAGACAGGCATTATGCTTGCACAATGAAGAAACTGACTTTGCGGTAAAATTTTATTAAAATCTCTCCTGATTATCCCCCCCCCTATATTTGCAGCTCCCCCTACTCATATTTAGTCAGTGTCATTGATACAATGCACTGGGAACCAAACACAAAACATTCATTTTATATATGCATCTACTTTAAAAATCTCTCCTCCCTCCAAAGATTTTGTTCTTTGATTTTATTTTGATAAAGTAGTCAGGCACATCTTTTGCATTCCATAGAATTTACTTTTGAGTAGGATTGTGCAGGTAGCTACAATATTGCAAGTGAACATACAGAGTTGCATATGAAACCTTATTTCCTTCCCCTTTCTTTTCTTTCTCCTCCTCTGTTTTTCTTGTCTGTTTGGATTATAAATTGCCTAGGCAGGAAGCAGTTTCTTTTCCCTTTTTGTAAAAAGAAACCTGGCACATTTTTGGTTCTATAAATAAAATGAAATGCAAAAAAATACCGAAATCCCCACATTAGTTTATGACCTATGTTTGCTGCAGCTAGTCAGATGGTGCTTCCAGATGGGGGTGTTACATTATTATTATTATTACTACTACTACTACCTGATTTTCCTATGTGTTTTTTGAGCAAGTTAGATTTCATACGTTTCTATTTTCCCCCAGTGGTAATCTTCATTGCTATTCTCCTGCTTGTCATCCAGCAACAGTGGAGGAAATGTATCAGGGTTATTTTTTGCTTTTTCATTTCTCCTTTCAATCATGCCTGCCCCCAGCCTCCATTTGTTTTTCTGTTCTGGACATGCAGGGAGGTATTTCTGAACCTGCACATCTTTAGGGGGAAAAAATCCTCAGGGGGTGTGAAAGAGCAAACATTAGCAGCTCTCTCCAGCCAGGGACTGTATCATGTTTCACAATGAGCAAAATGGAAGCTTTTGGGGTTGGATGAGGATATTCATATACCTTACCTTTATTTTTGCTTTTGCTTTTTACTACTGAGGTCTTCTGTGCAAGGCTCACAAGAGTGCTAAAGACCTTTATCAGCATCATCATCATCATTTTAATTTTTTTTAAGGCCACTGTATATACTGTACTGCATTTAGCGTCTCCCAGGTAATGTTTCACATTTACTGTGCAGAGATCTTGAGAGAATACCTCTTCCAATCTGGTCATGCCTTTAGCATGCAGCAGTTACTGGAAATATTGATTGATTGACATGTATATCCCTTCCTTCATTGCATATGATGTTAGGATGGGTTAACAATACAGACTGCAGTACAATAAAATAGGAGCTATGGTTACAAGAGAAAAAACAATAAATTGCAATACAGTGGAAGCACAGAGCAAAACACTGATAAATGTCTCCTGGTTCAGGCCATACTCATATCTGTTCTGAAAGCCTGGCAGAAAAGAAAGGCCTTCAGCTGGTGCTGAAAGATGGGCAATAGCAGCACCAGACAAACATTGGTGGGGTAGGTGCTCCACAACCAGGGTGACGCTATTAGGAAGGCCCTCTGGCAAGTCATAGATCCTCTGACCTCCTGTGTTGATGGAATGACCAGAGGTGCCTCCACAGCCGATTGCAAAGTACACAAGCTCTTTCAGGTAATGGGGTCCCTGGCCATTTAGGGCTATATAGACATCAAAACTAACACAATGAATTGACAAATAGATGACCCTCACTTTGGTATTGGGGATCAATGGAAACAAAATGGGCAAGTTGTTCTCAGCTGAGGAGCAAAGGGAAATAGGGGTGTTGGTGTGCTATTCAGGCCCCCAGAGTGGCTGGGGTCACCCAGTCAGATGGGGGACATCTAAATAATAAATTATTATTATTATTACTCCTACTGCTACCACTACTAAAAACCACATTCTGAATGCCACCACAGACTTGAAAAACTGTCCCCTGCAAAACAGCATTAGCAAGTTTCCATATTAGCAACGACTACACGTATATAACAAGTTAATTTCACTCAGCAGCTCTTCTGCTGTAAGAGAAAATGTGGATTAAATGTAAAAAGTATGGGCTGCTGTTCGATGACAATGCTGCAATGCCAATACTGCAAAAACAAAAAACCTTGCATACATGAGTACTTCCGATTTCACAGTAAACTCCTATCTCAAGGCACTAACACTTAAACTGCTTCTAGCCCTCGGTATCGGTTTCAGGATCCATTCTGATGATGTTGTAATTCAGGCTGCTTGCAGCCAGCAGGTTCCCACAATGCTGGTTGTGCAATTAGGTGAGACACCACTGGAAACAAACCAGGAATGCGGGAAGCAAATTAGGAATGCAGAAAGCTGTACCTGGGGAAAAGAGGTGCAACATTACAGGCTGTTTTGCATGTACGATAGCCATTTGTTTGGGCTATGCCAACTGTGCTTCCCTTGATATATACAATGCCGCAAGCCTCCAGTACAGTACTGTATATGCTGCATGCTATATGGACGTGGGTGGCACTGTGGGTTAAACCACAGAGCCTAGATCAGAAGGTTGGCGGTTCAAATCCCACAACGGGGTGAGCTCCCGTTCCTTGGTCCCTGCTCCTGCCAACCTGGCAGTTCGAAAGCAAGTCAAAGTACAAGTAGATAAATAGGTACCACTCTGGCGGGAAGGCAAACGGCGTTTCTGTGCGCTGCTCTGGTTCTCCAGAAGTGGCTTAGTCACCCTGGCCACATGACCCAGAAGCTGTACGCCGGCTCCCTCGGCCAATAAGGCAAGATGAGCGCCGCAACCCCAGAGTCGGCCACGACTGGACCTAATGGTCAGGGGTCCCTTTACCTTTTATATGCAATATAGGAAGGCTGCAATGTGAGATCAACATATAACACATAAGAGGGATGATAGAGCTCTTGCATTGCAGGCAGAAGGTCCCAGGTTCAGTGTCCTGTACTCCAGGTATGGTTGGGAAAGGGTTCTGCCTGAAGCTCTGGAGAGCCACTACCAGTCAGTAAACAATTCTGAGCCAGATGGACCCAATAACATGATTCAGTGTAAAGGCAACTTCATATGTAGTGGTTGGGTCCCCTTACTTGACATCTGCATCTGGAAAATTCCCAGTCTGCTCTGGAAGTGACTCCAGATTTCTGTCCCTCATTTTAACACAAAGCAACACACATCAGGAACTGTGCTGTGGAGCAAAAGCAGGCAGTAGGGTTGAAACTGAATAGATCCTGTCTGGATCAACTGGCAGCTTTTGCAGTGGATTTCCGCATGGGGCGGGCATGGAAACATTACACATCAGGAAAACACCGCAATTTCTGAAGGGGAAACATAAAGGGTTTGAGAATCCCTGGCTTAACTGGATCAAAATAATACAAAAGATGTCTTCTTTACATGTGCACCAGACTCTCAACAATACATCTCGCCCTTCCTTTTCATCTTTATCCAAGTCAATTAAGCATCTTATGAAGCAGAAGGCTTTGAGTGGATTGGAGCTTGTTCTTGCCTTGCAAGGGAAAATGGAAAGTGGGGATTCCTTTTTTCTCCTCTCAGCTGGGCTGGGCAGCAGCATCCTTTTGTGAGCGCCAATGATGTCATCGGTAGCCTGGCTTCCTCTTTCTGTCTCCCCTCCCTTCCCAAGTCCTTTAAGGTGGGGGAGGGAGAAAAGTCATTAAGCACTACAGTAAAAGCTGATTCAGGCCACTGGGGTTTAGTCCTCTCAGAAAATGTGTTTGGGAGGGATGATGGAGGAGAGATTGCAGAGTCTGCTCACTGCTGACCTGCTGAATTATGACTTTAATGCAGTCACTTTAATAACCCGACCACCAGATGCAATTTATGGCAGAGCAGGCGCCCAGGCGTTTTCCTTTCTCTGATTACTGCCCCCCTCCCCCAGCCCATTACTTCTCCCTGCTTGCTCTGCTAATGGAAAAATGTTATGTGTCTGTGTGTGATTTTTCTCTCCCTCCCTCCCAAAGCAAGACTTGTTTTCAGGAACTGGTGGGAAATGAGAACCTAATGCACACAGCCGAACAAAAAAATGCCTTCTTCTTCCCTCTTCTTTTCTAAGGCTCCAACCAGGAAATCTGTAATGGAGTCTTTTCTTGTTCATTCTGCTTCTGGTGCCTTTAAGCCTAAGGAAAGACTGGGGAAACTAAGCAGTGGCCTAACTGAAGAGGAGTGGCACATGCTAAAAATGAATGGTTTTTGCAACGCATAGCCCAGCGTTTCTGCAATTCCTCAGTGATGTCATGATATCAGGACTGGTGAGAGGCATTGCCATGTATAGACAAATCTACTCAAATGTGTTTACAATGGGACGTTTACATACTACAGAAATGGGCTGGATAGATACTAAATGTGTTTGTTTGTTTCATAAAATTGATACACTGCTTGATTGTAAAAAACAACAACCCTCAAAGCAGTTTACAAAAAGATAAAACAAGAAAATTGAGAAAAGTTCACATTCTTTAAAACATACAAAAATTAAATTACTAAAACATACTTCAACTTTCTAAATTTCTGGGTAGGCTTGCCTAAACAAGAATGCTTTTAGCAGGTGGTGAAAAGAGTACAGTGAAAGTGTCTGCTTAATCTCAATTGGCAGGGAATTCCAAAGTGCAGGTGCTGCCTAAATGATCAAGTTATTGCAAATGCAGAATGGGTACGAATTAATCTTTATTTGCGTCAGCCATTGGCCATAGCAATAAAACAACAATATGATACACAAAGAATAAAAATAAAAAGTCAATTATATAAAATACATTTTAGGGTTTTGAATCAATAGTCAAATCGTGGCTCTTATTCTGATTGCCCCAGTTGAAAAACCTTGCAACCTTTGCTGTCACCTGTTCATCTTGATATGCCAAGAGAAAGGACACTGTGGCAGTGGATGGGGAGAATGGGTATTATGTGGTAGCGACAATTCCGCCAATGTTTCAATTGTTGCAACACCATCCCGGGACTGCCCAGAGTTGTTTAACAATCAATCCATCATCCAAGGGAACTCTGGGAATTCTAATTCTAAGAGGAGAACAGGGGTCTCCTAGCAACTGTCTTAACAAGCTGCAGCTCCCAGAATTCCTTGGGTAAGAGGGGGAAAGCCATGACTGTTACCATGGTGCCTTAAATGTATGGCCTGAATGTGGCCACAGGCTTAAAAGCAGTAGCGCAGTTAAGTATTTTCAGACTCTAGATATAATGGGTTCCCTCTTTCGATCACTTTGCTTACTTTAAAATATGGCCACCCATTTTGCTGCCTGAGGCAATGGACAAGATGGTGCCGCCCTCTGTTCCATTTACAGAAGCTAACTGGCAGTCGAACCTGACTTCAACGCTGGCAATGGGGCAGCAGGCTAGCCTGGGGTGTAGATGAGAGGTCTGTGGCACGCATAGCTCTGATCTCCAACAGAGAGGAATGGCTGGGAGGGCTCAGGAGAAATGGGAGGAAGGGGAAGGGGTCTGTCTCTCAAGCATATCCTGCAAGTGTCCCCCCCAAAAAATGGGACATCCCGTTTTCTCATGTGAGCGCACAGCGGCCATTTTGGGTGCTGTGATCTTGCACAATTTTGACCTTGCCTCCTCAAAAGGTGTTTTTTCAGGGCCACAATCTTGCATGACCCTGAAAAACTGCATCTTTGGGGCTCCATGACTCACACGGGCAGGAAGATGTGCATCCTGGTTTTTTTGGACTCAAAATGTCGGGTGGTATTCTCTAGGTGATCGCCCTACTCATCCCAGTGGTAGACTCAGCCCTGCCTGCTGCATTGTGGACCCACCTGCTCATTCTGCTGAGTAGGGCACTAGGCATCGACTCCAAATTCCTGCCCTGAGAGCATCGCTACTTAAAAGAGGCATTCCCTCCTGTGTGACAGAGGAGAAACACCTCCAAAATGGCGTCTGCTGAGATTCAAAAGTACTGTGTGTTTTCCCCCCCCCCTTCTTTAGAAAGCTATTATTTCTGACGTGATTTATGCATATTGGACCAATGGACCAAAATTCACCTGATTTAATCAGTCAAGACTTCTCCAATCTGATGACAGCCCTAAGAAAGCTGGAGAATGTCCCCAGTTTTGTCTTCTGAACTTTGGATCTCTCTTTTCTGTTCCCTTCTCATCTAATGTCTAGGCTCTTCCTCCACAGCTTCCCTCTGCTTCATTAGGTAATTTGTATAACTATATTCTAACCCATTAACCTCCATTTGCTGCCAGAGGGTGGAGGGGGAGAGGCGGAAATCACAAATGTGTCACATTCTGATCAATACATTCAATCTCTCTCTCGTACAGAGATAGAAGAAGCTAATAAAGAAAAAGAAAGATTAAGTGCATAATTTTTAAATAACATCCATTGTTCGCTAAAGAAAGTTTAACAGGAAAAAAAGCCACAATCCAGGTCTTTGGTGTGTGTGTGTCTCCGGGATAAGAACAAATGTGTTACATTTTACTCCTCCCCACCCTGCAAGTGCAGATTGTTTCTTCTTCAACAATGAACAATGGCATCTTTCAAAAGGCTTCCAAAAATGACATTTTCGGAGCAGTCCTCTGCAGCTAGTGTTAAATATTTACTAGTGGGTGAGATATCCCTCCTGTTACAGCAAATACAATTTTCTAATGACCTGGATTGTGAACCCGGGTGGATAAATGTAGCAAATCCCTTTAATCATATCCTGCTTCTCTTGCTGTTCAGAAAACACTTTCCCCCAAGCCTTGAAATTTGCCGTGTTATTGCACAACACTGAGCACAGCTCACCCAGTAAAGAGATGTAGAATACAAGGTCAGCTACTGTTTGTTAGAGATAGCCATAAATTATGTTTCGCTTTCTGCAGGAATTTGAGCTGATGTTGAGAATTAATTGACCTTCTTACAACGTATTCTGTATCAAAATAACTATCTTGATCACTATAGTATTATTTTCTCTCCTCCAGAGAGAGAGAGAGAGATGCATTAAGCCAGCTCATCACAGTGGTAGCAATAGCCTTTAAATTTGCTGCGGGGGCGGGGGGGGGGGGAGGACTTGCAGCCCTTGGCATCATTTCATGCGGTGTGGATTTCAGAGATTCGGTTGTCGCAGCAACACCACACATTTGCAGCTCTGGTCTAGTGCTTTAATGGCCATGGTTTTCCCAAAAGAATCCTGGGAACTCCAATTTGTGAAAGGTGCTGACCTCACAGAGCTATAGTTCCCAGCAGTCATATAAGCTACAGCTCTCAGGATTCTCCGTGACAGTTAAAGCAGTGTAAGAATGTTTTAAATGCATGTGAGGATGTGACTGAGACCAAGAAGCACAGAACTGTAGAATTGGAAAGGGACCCTGAGATCATCTAGTGCAACCCTCTGCAATGCAGGAATGGACAGCTCTCCCATACGGCAATCACTATACAATCTGTTATGTACTGAGTTGAATAGGATCCAAAAGGCAGCAGTCTGATTGGTCCTAGAACAATAGGATTCAGAATGCAGCAGTCTGATTGGTCCTAGAACAATAGGGTCCAGAAAGCAGCAGTCTGATTGGTCCTAGAACAATGCAGCAGTATGATTGGTCTGCAGGAGCCACCCAATCCAGCTCCAGGTGGAAATGAATCCGCAACCTGATTGGCCTACAGGAGAATCCCAGAATTAGCCAATCACATGCCGCCCATTGTGTAAATAATGTATATAAAGCAGATATTTTGGGGGAACTTTCATTCCTCACTACTATGAGCTGAATAAAGAGCATGAAATCCACACTCGACTCCGAGTATATTTCACAATCCTACAAGGCTTACTGTATTTATAACTCGCCTTGCCTCCAAGGAGTTCAAGGGGAAGTACATGGTTCCTTCTGCACCTCATTTAAACCCTTCAACAACCAGTGAGGTAGGTTAGACTGAGCTAGAGTGATTGGCTCAAGGTCACCCAGTGAGCTTCATGACTGAGTGGGGGGCGGAATTTGAACCTAGGTCTTTCAAGTCCTAGACCGACACTCTAACAACTACACCACACTGGCTATATACACTGTATAGGCAGGCAGAGAACCTGGTAGCCGCTCTGTGGTGGCATCCTTATTATTGTTAATTAAATTTCTATATCGCCCATCTGAGGATCACAAGGCGGTTTACAACATAAAAACACAAAAATGCACAGCATAGTAACAAGCACAGGCAGTCAACCGCCCCTATTTGTATGGGGAGGGTATTCCGCAAACATGACAGATGCCGACATTGTAATCTTTTTGGTACAAAGCCAAAACGAAATTGGTTTCCTTAGGGCTCATCCAGACTTCCTTTTATGCTGTGTTTCTAGGCACAGGTCCATGCTCTAAAGCTCTGTGCCTGAGTGGGTTTTTTTCCGCGTCCTGCATTTTATCACTGAATTGGAGCAAACAGCAATCGGGTTTCCTTCAGATTGCTGTTTGCTCTGATTCAACGGCGAAACACAGTCCTGATCCAAGAGCCTCTTCCTCTAGCTAATGGTTGTACTTCTGATTTGTTCATCTGCGGAACAACTCACTATTCTTATTTCCCCACCTCCCCTTTTACAGATTCATGCATCTCATGTTAATGCCATGTCAGAAGGAAGATGCTGTATAAACTGATGCAGTGGTATCCAATTCTGCAAGGGTTTCTCTCCCTAAGCCTCCTGCCTCCCCCCCAAAAAAACCCCTCTTGCTTGCAACATAAATGGTTGTGTGTGTGTGTGTGTGTGTGTGTGTGTGTGTGTGTTTTATATAAAAAAACCCATACCTCTTACATCAGAGGTGGGGAGCTGGAAGTGTTTTCACTGCGGAATAAACTTATGGGCTGTGAAAGCCTGTGATTCAGAAAATTCGCCTGCAATATTCCCCTCAGCTGTTGCCATGGGTAACCAGCCTCTGCAAAACACTATTTACCCTGGAATGCAAGGAGACTTGGAACTCAACAAGGACATTCATTCCAGTTAACCCCTTCCTAGCGGAAAATAAAAACACACCACACTGTGGTTTCAGCAAGAACGAAAGAAACCATTTAAAGTCATCTTTTATTGGCCTGGCAGGAGTTCCTGTGTCTTTACCAGTTAGGTGCCAGACAGAGACTTAACCAGGTGCCCCCTTTTTCAATTCCTGGGAGAATTTTGTTGAATTCTGGTATGCTGTGCAGGCTCAAGAGCTTTGTCCGCCAAAAGATGGCCATCCTACTCTTACTGTACATTTCATCATACTTCTCTGAACATTCTCACAAATCTTTGCTGTAGGGTTGCCAACTGATCACAAAACAGCTGCCCAGCTGGCTCATGAGTTCTTCTACATTGCCTTGCTATGCAAAAAGAAGCAGGGGGAACCTCTCACAGCATGGAGATAAATACAGTCACTAATAGCTGCAGATCAATCTATTGTTAAATAATTAGCTGTAAGGGCAGAGTCAAACAGTGGCAACTCTACATTGTTGTACATGCTGTTATAAAAATGAACGTGGTGGAGAAATAGACTCTTGCTGCCCTGACCCTCCATCTATAGCCACGCTATGCCTGCCAATTTGCTACCTTTCCTCTCTTTTTGCTCTTGGCTGTGCGGCCAATACATTGATCTGAGTTGCTTGGGGGTTTTTTGCGCTGGCACTCGGAGTGCCAGATACAGAGAGGGGCTAGTACCCGGAAACTCCAGAGATGGTCCAATAAATGTAGGCGCCAGTGGTTGAAAATCCAAATCAAACCATCTATGATGCTAAAAACATTTTAAGCAGCATTATGATTTACCAATTCTTTTGGCAGTTTGCTGCCCTTTATCAGTACAGTGTCTCAAAAACTGCTGCCAGAAGGAAGCTGCCCCACCCTGCCTAATTATAGGGCCGGGCCGGCCAACCTCAGCCCATCAGTTTAAGCTAACTGAGGACAGCCTGTGTGGTGTCAGAATATCAGGCTAGGACCACAGAGACTAAAATTTAAAAATGATAATATTCTTCACTTGATAATTAAGGTCACAGGGTGACCTTGGGAGAGCCACTATCTCTTAACCTGACCTACCTCACAGGCTTGTTGTGAGGACAAATTGCGGTAGTGGAAGAAATCCTATACTTGTTGATCCATGCTGCCCTGATTCCTTGAAGGAAGGACAGAATGAAAATGTTGTTTTTTTTTGAAAAAAAAAGAAACCTTGAGTAATACCGAACTATACATCTTTTGAAGTGGTGTGATTTTTAACTAGCGACTGCGTTAACATGCTCATATAAGCAGGGTGTACTGGTCCAACCCTCTGCAAAAGTGTACAGGCTGTCTCACTTTCAGCTCCAAACTTTTGGCACCAAATTTATTTTCATCACTTCTAGAAAATGCCATGCAATTCGGCAGCTGGCATCTTCATGATTACCTTCCTTCTGGAAGGGGAAGACTTTTCCAGAAACATTTTTCAAAGCCAACATCTGCACATGAGGAGGTGCATACTTGCCCTGTTTACCAGCTCAGGGTCTTTTGCTGTTTTACTTTGTTCGCAGATGCTGGAAACCTTCAAAGAGCTTAGCTTTAATTATTGCTGACTCACCTGGCCAGGTGTGATTCATTAGCCTGAGGCCCATTTCTTTCGTTCTGACCTTCCCCATCCCCCCAACCACACCTGCAACCCAAGATGCTTGTCTTCATATGAATGCAAATTTTTCGTAGGTCTGTTATGCTCCTTGCAAAGGTGCAAATTTCATCCACCCTGGCTTGGATCTATTTATATATTTCCCAGTGCTTCGTCTATACCAGTCAATTGCGCATAAGTGGAGGGAAGCCTGTACTAAAACAGATTAAAATCCAGAGCATTTCTAAGCATAAGGGCAGGCTGGTCTAAGCAAGAATGTTTTTAGAAGGCATTGAAAATAATACAGGGAAGGCATCTGCTCGATATCAATAGGCAGGGAGTTCCAAAGATGCTGCCACACTAAATGACTGAGTTCTTACCAATGCAGAATGGGTATTATGTGGCACTTGTAGTAGTGCCAATTCCACTGATCAAAGTGGTCGAATGGGCACATATGAGGTAAGGTGATCTCGTAGGTAGACTGGTCCCAAGTTATTAAGGGCTTTGTATACTAATGGCAAAGGGATGCGGGTGGCGCTGTGGTCTAAACCACAGAGCCTAGGACTTGCCGATCAGAAGGTCGACGGGGTGAGCTCCCATTGCTTGGTCCCTGCTCCTACCAACCTAGCAGTTCGAAAGCACATCAAAGTGCAAGTAGATAAATAGGTACTCCTCCAGCGGGAAGGTAAACGGCGTTTCCGTGCGCTGCTCTGGTTCG